TTCTCATTTATTTATTTTAGTGACAAATAACATGTCATAAAAATAATTTATCGATTTAATTATTATAACAAATCGGATCAGATTGTTATCTGATCAGATGGTTATCGATGATGAGAATGTGATGGATGTGAAAAGATTGAAGGATTTGAAGAAAACAAACATTTTTGTTGGATAACTTGTTTTGACAATTTTACACATAAATTAAGATGCCATTTGAGTTAAAATTACTGTTTCAACGTTGACTGATGATTTTATGGATGAAATGCGTGAAATGGACTAACACTGTAATTATATATAAAGGATTGGGACTTCGGCCACAAAAATTAAAGGTTTGGGTGTAATCTGCAACTAAATGAAAGGTTTGGGACCAGCACTGTAATTTTTCGAGTCAAAATTACTGTTGAAACCTTGACTGACGGTTTTATGGACAGAATTAAAGGCTTGGGACCGACGCTGTAACTACATATAAAGGTTTGAGACTTTGACTGCAAAAATAAAAGGTTTGGGTGTAATCTGCAACAAAATGAAAGGTTTGGGACCACGACCGCAATTTTCCCTAAATAATATATACCTAATCCTATACAAAGTGAGAGAATGAGAAAATGATATGGATAGTGGCGGATCCAGCACCCGACGAGGGGGCGCGACAGCGGTTGCTGGGCTCCGCTGGAACAGTGGATAGACTGTGGAAGCCGGAAGGAAGGGAAGAATTGAAGAAGACGATCGAATCTGATTTTTGTTTTGTTTCGTTTTCTTCTTCTTCTTTTCTTTTTTTTTTTTAAAAAAAATTTGGGCTTATTCCATGCTTCCAGCTGTGGGACTTTTAAAAATAACAAGGCCCAATCCAAATTGAATGGATCCATTATCAATTTAATCCATATGAATTTTGTCCACTGTTTTTGCAAGACCGCGAGAGGAGAAGAAACAGAACGAAGTTGAGAAGAAACAGGATGCACCGCACACATGCATGCAGTCGCAGATACGGTAGACGGACCGCACTGCAGTGAGCTCATCTGGGACTCCGAAGTCTGGACTCCAGTGGGATGTGAATAGAAAGTCGAATCCGTCACTGCACCGGCACCAGACCACCGTCCACCTCGGCACCTCCTGGTGACTGGAGTCACTGGACAATTTTCTTCAGTGAGTCTCTTACTCTCCTTCATTTTTTTTTTCTGTTTTACAATTTTCTTTTTTGGCTTTGGAAATGGAATTGGTGTTATTTTTTTTACAGTTATGAATATGTGATTTGTGTTGTGAATATGTGATTTGGGATAAATAATTTATGTTGTATGAGTTATAATTTATCATTTATGAATTTTGATTTGTGATTTGGGAATTTATTATTTACGTTTAGGAATTTAGGGTTTAAAAAAATTTAATTAAGAAGATGTTGGGCTCAATTCAACTATCTGTGCTCAGTTGAGGGTTTAGTCCATTTACATATATATTGAATAATTTTTAATATTATTTAATTAAATATTAATAAACTATTTTGCTATCACTATCGCCGATTGTCGACGATCAACGCTAAAGGTCTGCCGTAGCTGAACGTAAAACCTAGGTCCGTCACTGGATCTGGGTGATAGATTTGAACTTTGTGATGTCTTCTTGACTTGGGTGAATTTTCATCACGCCTCAAGTTATTGTTTGGCTTCAAAACACATGCATACTGTAATACTTAGAGGTTTGTAATAAATGACAAAATCCAAATTATCGCGAGGAGAAAAGAGTACTACTTCAGTAATTAATTAAGTTCTTCATCAGATGTTAACATCAATAGATGGAAAATCAGGTCGAATAATAGGTCTTTGAAATATGTATAAATAAGATGGATTAAGCTATTTTTACACCTTGATTGACACTTTGGTTGACGAATTGATGACCTGAAAGTGTTATAATGATTGAATTAAATGTGTGAGACGTGAAAGATGATGTGAGATTGTGTCAAGTCTAAATTGAAAGATGATGTGAGATTGTGTCAAGTCTAAATTCGATAAGTCGGGATGTAAACCAGGATGTATATGTACCAAAATTGTACCCTCACTTCTTCTTATTCCCCTGCCGTCCAACCCCATGGTCACCACAATTCCATCAATAATGCCTTGGCCCGCCATGCCCACCCAACCTCACTTCTTTAACAGAATTTAGCCCATTGTGCAGACGAGAGGTGGGTTTGGGGATGAGGGGTGGTGGAGACATAGTTGGGGGGAGATGGTAGTTAGGAACCGGTGGCAATTCGAAGTTTAAGAGAGGCTGAATCGTTTACCTAGACATTTTGTCTCGATAAACTATAACCTGTCTTGAAATTCTATAATAAAACAACCTACAAATTAAAAGTCACTTGCAATCGCAGGTACAACACACAATCAAATGACAAGATTAATAATCTACATAGAACTAGAGAAAGACTAAAAAATAAAAATAACAATGAGAAAACACAACCAATTAACAAAATCAAGAAACCAGAACAAAGCAATAAAATCCTCAATCAACCCAAAGACAAAATGATGCTACAATTTCAGTAAAATTGAAAAAAAAGAAAATGACACCATGAATAAATCATAATAAACTGCCTTTTAGCAGGAAAAAATATATGTAGTACTCGGTCTTCTTCTTCTTTCTTTCTTGGTGAATTTTCAAGCGTGAGATAAAATAAAAAACCAACTGGAATACCCAATTAAACAAGCAAATAAATAGATTTTTTTTGCCATTCAATGTCATAAAACCCTGATCACAAAATCCTACTTCACTCTTAACTAGTTAATGTCACAGCATTTGTGCAGCAATAAACGATAAATCTGTGTTTAGAACTTGAATTTTCGTCGAGTTTGTATTATAATCTTGCAATATTTATGCTTTTCTTCCAACAAAACGAAAAATGTGTACATGCATGCATGTACGCTTGCAACTTGAACTGACGTTATGTGATTGCCGCCTCAAATTAATATAATTGAGACGTGTTTGGTGCGTTGGATTAGACAAAAGATAGAATATGTACGTGATAAAAATTTGCACACCACATTTATCAGTTTTTACATCAAGGATGGGGGAAAATGATTGAAATTAGATTTCCTTCGGATTTTTTAATTATAGGTACTAAATAATGCGATTCAACCCCGTATCTCAATTCAGCATGTGAGATGTTAGATTAAAAACAAGATATTGTCGAACTTTTTATTATAATTACGGCCAATTAATTGAAGAATATTCAGCACAGGAGTTTTTATTATCAAGAAATTGGAGAAAAATGTCCAAAATGAATTCGATTGGGTAATTACGCCACAATACGGGCGAATCTAACTGCCATTTTTGCTGAAGGTCGAATTTATTTAAAAAAAAAAAACACAGAGTACGATGTACATTTACAAAAATTACTATCAAAAAATTCTTTTCTTATGTTCTTTTACTGTAATCTCTAGACATTATTCCTCAAGGAAGTAATAGCATAGCATAGACAAATGTTTCACTTTTCCCTTCTCTTTTCCAAATATCTCTCGTACTCGGCCTTGCATATGTGTAAAACTCTGCATTAAACGGAGAGGGCGTCCACGTTGCCAAATATGCGTTGCCGGAAGTCAGTTAAATGAGAGGAAGTCCTTCCCTTAAAGAAACAGTCGGCTGCCATCCAAGAAGTGTTTTGGCTTTTGAAATGGCGGGCTTCCTTTTGTGGGGATCATCCTCCGTGTTTGGCCTAAACTTGATCTTAGCATTTTTATCGATTGTCTCTTGCACAACCTATAAACCATTCAATTAGCATCCAACTACTACAATAACAGATTCAAAACTTCATGCACGTCCTACATCAACTGCCTACATTGAACTTTTTGAGAATATTTTTGTAGTTAAATTTTTGAGAAATCTATCCTACACTCTTTTCCTTCATATTGTACACATACAAACATGAGGCGAGCCGAAGCCTGTGCATCAATGTATATCATCATCTTCTCATTAGGCATTTATTGCAATATAATGACTTGTATAAGCTGGTATAGACTGCTGTTTGGTTCTGTTATCGCTATACATATGAATATATGAATATGATGTATATGTAATTCTCATGTGCTAGAGTAATAAATCAACCTGAGCAAGTTCAAGCATGGTAAATTCACCAGGGTTCCCGAGATTAAAAGGACCGACATGATCTCCTTCCATCAATCGCATCAAACCTTCCACCTGCTCATGGTAGAGTTAAAATAAATTTCTCAGTAGTTCGGTTTTCTACCACAATTTCATTGGTCAACAATTGGAGAAGTGCATCACTCCAGATGGAAGTGAATGATCAAGGGACAAATTGTTTAATCTTCTGAAGAATAAATGAAATTTATTAAGAATGGCTTGGATCGAGTATGGTGGATTGTGTATATAAAGGTCGTTTGTTAATAAATCCTTTTGTCCTCTCATTTTATTTACCAATCTACTAATATTGATAAACTCTAAAACTTTAAATGATCATGAGTGGACGATGTTGCGAGATTTCTGTTCTTACAAAGTGATGCCTATCAGTGTTAAAAACACGCCATATCTTGCTGGTAATAACACTCTCATCATCAGAGATAACCTAATGGAAGAATGTATTAGGAGTATAGCTCTTATAGTGCTGCATAAGACTGCAGAAAAAATGGCCCGCTTTAGAGGAAAGATTGCAGGAACATAGACAACTTACCAAATCAGAAACATATTGGAAGCTCCTAGTTTGCTTTCCATCCCCATAAACAGTCAAAGGTTCTTTCCTTAAGGCCTGATCAAACACTTTACAACATGAGTAGGGAGCAGTTATAAATAACTAGTCATGCATTAAATTCAATAACTGGTCTTCTTAATCATTTCTCAAGGAAAATAAAATTAATATTTTGTTTGGTAAGGATTATATAGTATCGAACATTATAAAGGAATAAAAAAAAAGTAGAATCTAAAATCTTGTTTTTATCATATTGTCCAGCACTGTAACATCAAACATGCACTACAAAGGAGATGCAAAAGAAAGGATGAACTAGAAGTATTTGAACAAACCTGGGCAACAAAATTGCTGACAACACGTCCATCATCGATGCACATGCGTGGGCCATAAGTGTTGGAAATTCTAGCAATTCTCACCTGAAAAACAATTAAATCATATTTGTGTCTGATAACTAATATACTGTTGGACAAAAAAATTTAAAGACAATAGACCTCGAGGTTAAGTCCTCTGTGGTAATCCATGGTCAAGGTCTCAGCAGTACGCTTGCCTTCATCATAACAACTTCTAACACCTGCTCCCAATTCAAAACAAATGGAGGTGAAATAGTACTTCCAATTAAATAACAAATTTGATTGGTGAATATCGATTTCTCTGTTCTCCAAATTATTTGCTCTAGAAGTGAGTGACTAGATGAACCTTTACGTAAACAAATAAACAATCAACTATGCTCTTTGCGAACAATATTGAATAAATCCATTTCAAGGAGCTTGAATAAGATTCCGAAGATCGTCGAAAATTGAATAAGATTCCGAAGATCGTCGAAGATTACGATTATATTATTATAATTGTATTAGATATAGATAAATTGTTTTTACCATTAATTAATATNCATTAATTAATATTGTAATTGATTGTTTCCATATTTAGTTGTTATTTTAGTCCTATTTAATGAGAGAATCTCTTACAAAGAGGGCATCGAGTCTTTTATTGAGTACATTTGACATTGTATTAGAGCCGTTCTGATTCTAAACAAATTAACCCTTGAATTTCGTTTTCGGTGGCCGGCCTTGTGCTGTTGCCCGACCAATTTTTTTTTTGAATAAACACGATCATTTTTTGCAGTTTTATAAGTCAATACATATCTGATTTTGGGCTGAAGTTTGTTTGGGTTCGCAATCTGATTTTTTTTCTTTTTTTTTGTTGGCTGATAAAGTTTGGGCAGAGATATTAACATTTTTTTCGATTGGGCTTTGATTTTTTTTCTTTTATATGGTGCTTCATGAGTATAGAGAGACATGTGAGTGCAGATCATCGCATTTTGGTTGCTCAGGTGATGAGCTCGAGTTTAGGCTGTTTTGTGGGATTTCTTCCACCTGCAGCATCTGGAGTTTTGGCCGG